ACATTCCGACTGATTTGATTGAGCAAACACTTCTGAATCATCCTCATGAATGTGGCTCCGGCATTCTTGAGGCTGAATGGCATGGTAACATAACAGAAGCACTCGAATGGAGTGATGAAAGCTGTTTTGATCTCGTCAGGCCCATATAGACAGATCTGATGGTACCCGGAATAGGCGTCTAAAAAAGACAGTCGCTCACATCCCGCAGTCGATTCGACTATCTTTCGGGCAGGCCCGATTGATATGTTTAAAGTCAATGCACATGCAAAGTGACTTGTCCTTCTTGGGGACCATGACAACGTTGGCGAGCCACTCGGAGTGATAAATCTCTCGGATGAACTCCGCTGCTAAGAGCCGAGCCACCTCCTCACCAATAGCCTTTCTCTTCTGGACGGCGGACCGTCGGAGATGTTCTTTGACAGGTTTCACTTTTGAGTCAACTCGTAGGCGGTGCTCGGCCAGCCCCCTGGGAAAACCCGGCATGTCAGAAGGCTTCCATGCAAAGATGTCCCAGTTCTCATGGAGGAACTGGATGAGCGCTTCTTCCTATTTGGAGTCGAGTGTTGTTGAGATATGAGTCGGAGCAGCACTGGGATCGATCGGGTGAATGTGAACCGGCTTCGTTTCACCAGACGACTGAAAAGCTGATTATGTAGCGGGCTTCTTGGCTCGCAACAAGTCACTCGGGTCTGCAGTCTTCTGGTACTCCTGCAACTCCACCACTGCCATCTGAGCATCAACGATCTTTGAGCCTTTCTGAAAACACTCTTCTGCTTTCTTCCGATTGCCCGTAACAGTAATCACACCCTTGGGACCAGGCATCTTCAATTTGAGATACACATAACATGGTCGAGCCATGAAGCGTGCATAAGCTGGCTTGCCCAAAATAGCGTGGTAAGCACTCTGGAAATTCATGACTTCGAACATCAACTTTTCTTTGCGGTAATTCTTGGAATCACCGAAAACCACATCAGGAGCAATCTGGCCGAGTGACTCAGCCTTCTTCCCAGGAATGACTCCATGGAAACTCATGTTGTTGGTACTTAGTCTGGACATCGGAATGCCCATCCCTTTCAACGTCTCAGCATACAGTATGTTCAAACCACTACCACCATCCATCAAGACTTTGGTCAGTCGAGTGCCTTCAACAACTGGGTCGACCACCAAAGCTTGCCTCCCAAGGGTGGCAATGTGCGTTGGGTGATCGGACTGGTCGAATGTGATGGCAGTCTAAGACCACTTCAGATAACTGGGTGTCGCCGGAGCAACCATATTCACCTCACGGTTGATAATTTTCAGTCGACTTTTGCTTTCAACATTAGCAAAAATCATCAGGGTGGAATTGACCTGGGGGTATCCATCATCACTGTCTTCCTTGTCCTCAACTTTGTCCGACTTCTTTTCCTTGTCTTTGGGCTGTTTGCCCTGGAACTGCTGGATCAAGAGCCGACACTGTCGAGTGGTATGTTTCGGGTAAATGAACTTACCCTCTTCATCTTTCTTGGTGTGGATGTGACATGGCAAATCCAACACATCATTTCCGTCTTGGTCCTTAACTTTCTTGGGGTTCCAAGGCCCTTTGGGTTTCCCCTTAAACATTCCTTGAGTTACGGCCAAGGCTTCCCCAGGAGCAGCTGGCTCGACTTTTCGCTTCTGTTTCCGATTGGAATTTCCTCCTCCGGTTTCTTAGGCGACTGACTTGTGCTTGCCACTCCGGAGTCGATCCTCATCTTCACCATTAGCGTACTTGGTGGCAATCTCCATCATCCGATTCAGAGACATGTCTTCGGTTTGACCGAATTTCAGATTCAGTTCTCTATACTTGACGCCTTCTTTGAAGGCACAGACTGCTTGGTAGTCAGGCACATTCTCTACCATGTGATGTAACGTGATCCATCTCTAGATGTAATCCCTCAAAGTTCCATTCGGCTTATGCATGCAAGACCGTAGTTCTGTTAGCCCTGCCGGTCGCTTGCATGTTCCTTCAAATGTGGTGACAAACACTTGGGCGAGATCTTCCCAAGTGTAAATGTTGCTGGGTGCTAACTGATTCAGCCACGCTCTGGCCGAGCCCTCCAACATGAGAGGCAGGTGCTTCATGGCCACTTCATCATTGCCACCGCCAATATGGACAGCCACTCGGTAGTCTTCAAGCTAAGTATCGGGCTTGGACTCACCAGTGAACTTACTGACTCCACTCGCCAACCTGAAGTTGGGAGGAATCACAGCGGCCCTGATGGCTCTACTAAAGCACTATGGCCCCGAAACATGTACTCTGCTGCTGGTAGGTGCATCTCTGTCGTGACCTTCTCGGTGAGCTCTGTTCCTGTCGATCAAACCTTGAACGAGAATGGATCTCGCATCAAAGCCTGATTCCCTGGGATCGACTGGAATCCTTCGCCCAACACTACGAGGGCGCCTGTCATCCTGCTGTCGAGGCACATACGATCCACTCCTCCAGGGAGGGGTGGGCACTCGACGTCGATCGTCACGATCGAATCGGTGATCATACTGCTCATGGTTCCCGTACTGATCACGCCGGTCCCCACGCCCCTCACGCCTCGGGGGCGATCTTGGGCTATGAGTCGACTGGACTGTGTCTATAGCAATGGATCTGCTATGAATCATGTTCCACGACTGAGAAACAACGGAATTCTAGTCTCCTGCTGCCCGGAGTAACGCTCTGATCTGCAGCAAGCCTCTGCCGGCCTCCGACTAGGAAGGCTGAGTCGACTCTGCTATACGGGCTGCAGCTGCTAAATTATGAATCGGAGTTCGATATACCTGCGGGGGCGGAAAGAGTTGACGTCCACTGGATTCTAGAACCCGTTGTCGCGCACGCTCGTCGAGTGCTCGCTGGAGGTTCTCCAGTCGAGTGCGCTCAGCCAAGTTTGCCAGGCGCGCGTCCTCCAAGGCACGAGCCTCGGGGGTTTCTCCAACGATAGGAGTGTGCAGTGCATCCATGTTCTGGCGACGAAGTTCTTCTCTCTGCAGCGACGTGAGAGGCTCGGGGAGATATTCCTCATGGGGACGCGACGGGTCGTCTCCACCTGCGCCTCCGTCGGTGCGGGGAAAACTGGGAGGACTGGGCGGTCCATCGACCATCAGAACCTCCGCCGCCGGATCACTGCTGTCGCACTCGATGCGGTCTCTGCGGAGCCAGTCGACAGGTCGAACAGGCCGTAGAGGGATTCGTCGGGCTCGATCGCCGCCACTTGCGGGGTGGCCGACTGGCGTGCCACTGCGTGTCTCACCCACCGCTGAAGTCTCGACCGACCGGAGCGCTTGCGCCGGCGGGAAACAGGGAGGGAGGACAACACAGGGGGCGACTGATAATGGGTCGACGGTTGCCGCAAGAGGACGCCGCGGACGCACGCGCGAAAGTGCGTTGCCCCGCGGACAGGGAGTGCATCCACGTCGAGCGGAGCCTCCTGAAGCCAAGCGGAGTCGTCGGCGATGAACGTGAGCGCGCCGAGACGGATCTCGCGGCCCTCCACCAAAACTCCATCAGAAACCATGATGATTTGGATCGGAAAAGATCGCAACTCCTCCAATAAATCGCTAAAACACCCGGCCCCACGGTGGGCGCCAACTGTCGTGGTTCTAGGTCTGACAGTAATGTAGGGGGGTAGGTATGGAGAGGCAAGATCTTAGCTATGGAGTAGTTGTAAGCACACGAGGTTTACGAGTTCAGGCCCTTCTTGGAGGAAGTAATAGCCCTACGTCTCGGAGCCTGGAGGCGGTCGACTGGATTATGTGTGTACGAATTACAGGGGTGCGAACCCTTTACACTAAGGAGGGGAGTGGCTTATATAGAGTTCGCCAGACCCCTCCGGCCCTCAGTTATGCAGGGTTTCAAATACATTAAGGTGGGGCGTTACTGGTAACGCCCCTAATAAAGTGCTATGATGACCATAAAAGCTACTTAATGACCGACCGTTAGCGTGCGGAGTGACTTTAGGTCTCCTGGCCGTCGAGTGGTTGGATCTTGGTCGAGTGATTGCTTCTTGGTCGAGTGTCTTCGAGTCTGCCGAGTGGAACACCTCCAAGTCAATTGGAAGGTGGTTTCTTCTAGAGATGTCCTTGGGTAGGGCAGTTAGGATAGGTCCATGATCCTACCCTAGGTACATAGCTTCATCACTATCTGTACCTATTTCTCGACATAGGTAGACAAATTTGGTGTTGTTCAAAGAAAGGTAGATAATTTTTAGTATGAAGTTTAAACCCAGATAAGTGAATGCTTACCGCAGTGTGAATATGTGAGTTAATTAGCTTAAATTAGATAAAAAAAATTAGTACTTCCTCCATAAAGAAATATAAGAGCATTTAGATCACTGAAGTAGTGCTCTAAATGCTCTTATATTTCTTTACAGAGGGAGTACTTTCCAATCTGCAAAAAAGTAGTGATCTTAATGCTCTTAAATTACTGGTTTCTTCTAGCAAAAGTATTGCCAATTTGTGTATACCTTGATTCAGAGATCAATCACATCTTGATTCAGAAAAACCGTACTGCACAATTATGCTATTTCCTGACATGAGAAGAACACCCCAGCGCATAACTAGTCTGTAGACGTGTGCCATGGAAATTCTGACAATTTCTTGGGTTAAAGAAACATTTTCTTTTATTCAGTCGTGGCATGACACCAAAAGAACCTAGTATGTAACTAATGCTATATAGATTCGATTCTTCTGAAACTTATGCTTTTTTTGTTCGAAGACTGAACTTATCCGTTTGATATGGAAAATTGATCATCATAAGTTAGATTGCCATGGATTCATAAGTCAGACCTACTTCTGTTTTTATGGATCTTGGAAATATGATTGATGGTGCATTTGGGTTCAGGTAAAGGAGGGAACAGTTCTGAGCACTCTGCAGGTGATCCAGAGGTTGATCCCAGTTCTATTTCGTATTTGGTCGTCGGTCTGATGGATTGCTACTGCTGCTAGTTGGTGGTTATGGCAGGGACAGAGACGGCCACCGAGCGAGCAAGGGAGGGCCCATGGCGCTCTCCTGCATGAGCTGCCCGTCCGTTGCTAGCGGCCCCTCCATGCGCCGACACGCAGAGAGTCCGCCCTGGTCATCCGTCGCCTTTTCCTTTGCTAGATGCATTGGGAGATCAGCGGCCGCCGCCTCAGGGTGGCGCATTGACGCCGTCATCGGGAACGGAGGTGGGTGCTCTCTTCTCGACTTACTCTGTTCAGCCAGGGTGTTGATTCTCTCCGTGCTCTTGGCTTCTCCTCCTAGGTGAGGCGGCGGGTTGGGAGTTGTGCGCGTACATGTCGTCTTGGATGATGAAGTTGCCTGAACTGAACGTAGTCACCCCTAGAGCCCAGATTCCTCGACTGAACTGGCCTATTGACTTTTGTGCCTCTAAGCTTCCTCCTAGAGATGTGCCGCCTTTTGTTCCTGCATTACCACCACCATTCTTTCTGCAATCCTATATGAATCCTGCCACTCTGCTGCACCGTTACCAACCTTACTTAATGTCTAAAACAAATTCAGTCGCCATTGACAAGTCGGAACAAGATAAATGAAGTGGGTTTACGAATTTGGGATCATTCTCACTAGCTTTGGTAACTTAGAGATATTTAGCATTCTTAATGAACCCCTAGCATCTTCTTTGAGTTAGTAATGTTATTACATACGTCTATACTGTTGATGGTTACTACTGTTAGTTATGCACTTGAGTGATGGGTTTGTAGGATAATAAGATCATCAACTCTGCTACACAGGGACTGTAGGATAATGCTGATCAAAATATTGATATGTTAGGACTAGTTTCCTAGTGCAAATGCAATAAGAAAAATCATGCGCCAATTGACAGTTATGCTAGCTAGCTATATTCAGTTGGTAGGTGCTCGTACTTAAACTGCACATTTAAAATTTAAGCTTTGGTAGTGTTATCTATTTAGTCTGATTTATACACTGCATTCCCAAGCTGAAATATTTTTTGTAACTGAAATATATAGTCTAAGTTTCATTCAGTTATTTGTCACTTTTTAACTGAATATCCTTTTGTAACTGAAATATATGTGTACTTACAGTGCATATTCGCATTGTATCAGAATCTTAGTCCTTTTCTCCTGTATAGTCTGAGATTATGCTTCCTCTCCATTTATTCATTATATCTATATGCCTTGCTGATGCTCATTTCTATCGCTGCAGGATAATGAGATGTTGAAGCGGCAGAGTGAATCCATGAGACTGTAGTGCAATTGCACCATTCCATTGAATATTACTCAGGAATAAGGACATTTCAATGGCAGATTAGCTCTATTTTTCCTTTTCATTTTTCTTACTATTGGAGTGAGGACATGTAGAAAGAGAAACTGTGTGGTAGCAGATATGGCAACTATGTGATAGTAGAATCAGGAATAAAAAATATGGCAACTGTATGATAATGACATTTTTCCATCACTATTGTTTCTCAGAATTGTATGCATAAAATGGAATTGGTTGATTTTATTTTTTTAAATCCTAAATAGTTAGTAGTAGCATGGGAACAAATTGAGCGCTACTAGTATTTAGGATACTAGTAGCGCTGGTATTATAAGCACGCTACTACTACTTCGTTAGTAGTAGCGCGGTTCTGTAATAGCAGTAGCGCGGGTGTTACACATGCTACTACTAACAAAATTAGTAGTAGCGATGGTCTACCCGCGCTACTACGAACTATTAGCTGTAGCGCGATACTAGTAGCGCGGGTACCCGTGCTGCTAGTAGCCATTTTACCCGCGCTGCTAATAGCCTTTTTCCTAGTAGTGAGAGGAGGGCAAGGCTAGCTCTCTCCTTCTCTAAGGTCTGGTCTAGATCTAATGAATCCCAACCCTTCGCATGGGTGCCCTGGGGGGTTTATATAGGCCTACCCCCAGGGGTACAATGGTAAACTGACTGGTCGTAGGGCCCAGCCGTTAGTCTCTTCGCCTGCCGGCCCTTCCACCGACTGTTGGGGCCCGCCGACTGGTGGGCCCCGCCGACTGGTCCGGTACGGAGCCGACAGGCCGCACCCGCCGCTTGCGGGTCCTGCCGGCTGCTGATTACTGTAGTTGTGCCTCTAATGACGCAGGCTTGGTCATGGGGTCATGGCTACAACCCCGCCGTCTGGTGGGCGATCACTATAGTCACTCCCTGTCTCGTCTTGTTAATGGAGCCGGGAACCCATAGGAGGGGCAGGCCGACTCCCGTGGGCCGGCTCCCTATAGGTCCGTCTTATGGCGCTTTAGCCGTCTTCCGGACTCTCACTGACCGGTAGGGCCCGCCTTCCGTGGATCGTACTATCAGACGTCGTGGGTATAGGACTCCGCCCACTTTTGCTGGCGTCAGGGATGGCATGGCACAATGTTGTGCCGGACGGAGATCTCCACTGGTACAGCGCACTGTGCTCTGGCCATCCCCCGAAAAAAGGGGAGGGAGTGGGCTTGATTGTCGCCACTCCCTGTCCCATCCCCCCTGATGAGGGCATGGGCTTCGTTGGTGTCGTGGGCAGACTTCCCGCGGTCGGCGACTCCGGAAGCCGCCAGTCAGAGTCAGCCGGTCTCGATCCCATCTGCAGGACTCAGACGCTTATGGGCGGCCGGCTGTTTCTCCAGTCGCCCTCCTGAAGTCGGCTCTCCATCCGTTGTCTTGAGGGGCGCAGCAAGCCCCGATGTCTTGAAAGGCCATGGGCCTCGGTTTAGCCTACCCGTGGCCCATTACTCCGACAGTAGTCCCCGAAGCTGATGAGGGGCCACGGATAATCAGCCAAGGAGCCTCAGTAGCTTCATTCTCCGAGTATTTGGGGTGGAGACTCTGCTTGACTCTGTCGGGCCGACTGGTAGGAGTCGGAGTCGCCTGACTTTGACTTGTCCAAGAAATACTTTCGAATCCCCTGGCGGGAACTCAGTGGCGTATGAGCTAAGCTTCCTAGCCGCCACCCACTTTGTGCCCACCATGTGGCAACCAGTGGCCGGGCCAGCCTGCCTACCCATCCGCGAGATGGGACATGCATGCCGGCGGGGCCCGCCACTACCACGCCTCGGCACGAGAGCAGATCCGCTGCGACCGGGGGGCGGTTGAGGTTCCCACGGAGTTACCGCGCGTAGTAACTTTGCGCGATAAACATGGGGGGCGTGGGGTAGTGGGCGTAGTAAATCCCACAACCGCCCCCTCGGCTTCGCAGCCCACTGGGCTATAAGTAGGGGGAGGAGGGGAAACGGCAGAGCACGTGCGTCCCACCTCCCCACTGCTTCTTCTCCTTATTCTCCCTCTCTGCTCCTTGAGCCTTGTCGAACGTTGCGGCGGTCTGCTCACGATGAGCTCTTCCTCCGCCGTCACGCCCCCGACGGCGCACTCCAGCACCTGGGATGGTTCAGAGGTCCACGAGGATCACATCGACTTCCTCTGCAAGACGCGTCAACTGCCCGGCGAGGACCTCGTGAGGGTCTGCCTTGCGCGGAGGGGGGAGATTTCGCTGGTGCCGCAGGAGGGCAAGCGGGTCGTCTTCCGCTCGCACTGCCTGCACGGCCTGGGCCTGCCGGCGAGCAACTTCTTCTGCTCCTTCCTTGAGTTCTACGGACTCCAGCCGCACCACCTCACCCCCAACACGGTGGTGCTGCTGTCCGCCTTCGTCACCCTATGCGAGGGCTTCATCGGCGTTCTCCCCACCATGGAGCTCTGGGGGGAGTTCTTCTCCAAGCTCGACACCCAAGCCGCGGGCGTGCCGGCTCAGTGCGGCGCGTTCATCGCCGTGCGGAGGTCGAGGGCCGACAACCCGTTTCCCTCCATCTGGCCGATCAAGTCGGTGAAGATGTGGCAGCGGTCGTACTTCTACGTGAAGAACGTCTCCGCGGAGGGCGACTAGATCAACCTGCCGGCCTACGTAGCTGGCCTGCCGGCTGGGAGGTAGCCCAACTGGTCGCACCGGGCCCGGACGTTGACGCCTGCAGGAGCCGGCGCCATTGCGCGACTTCGAGTACTGGCGCAGTCGGAAGGCCTGACCGGGCCAGACTTGCTGGCCGCGTTCGTGGCGCGCCGAGTGCTGCCCCTCCAAAGTCGCCCCACATGATCTGCCAGATGAGCGGGCACCGAGACCCAAGCCGAATGTGCACCAAGGAGATGCCTCACAAGGAGGTAGCCTACATGGTGAACTACCTTGCGAGCTGCGACCTCAACGAAGAGTGGCAGTTCGGCAAGGAGCCGTATTCGCGTGCTGCCCCTCCGCCTCTGGTGAGTCATTTCCCTTCTCTCTTTTTCTTCAATCCTCCTGACATCTTTACTGCCGAGTCCGTCTTGCTCGTTCTGACCAGTCGGCTTTGGTCAGAACCCCCTCCTCCAGCCAGCAGCCGGCACCATGGGGCCGGACCGCGAGTTCCTTCCCGACCGAGCGGAGAGCGATGTGGATGACCCCAACTTAGGGGCGGCGGCCCTGGAGGACGATGCCGAGGGGGGAGGCGACGTGTCAGACGGCCTGAGACTTGGGACCAGTCTTGAGGACTGGCCTGATGATGATGAGGAGGTTGTCCCACGCCACCAGCCAGGAGCCGGCCAGCCGGGCGCGGGCTCGTCAGGCCCACCGGACTCTCAAGGCGGCGGCAAGAAGCGCAGGGCCGGGACGAGCCTGTTTGGCAGCCGGCCGAAGAAGCCCAAGGGCTCAGCCGCGGCGACCAAGCGAGACGAGGCGGCCGCAAAGGCCAACCGCTTCCGCAAGGTGGTGAAGACGCCACAGCTTATTTCAGCGTAAGTACCACCTCCCTTCGTACCTTCACATTTCTTTATTGAGTCTGTCTGAAATTTCTTCACTTTGTTTCCCGGCTTTAGGGCCCCTCTCTCTCTTGAGAAGTCGGCCGCCGGCTCCGTTGTGATGTCGGTGCAGACCTCCTCCACCACCCGACGGATTGATCCCGCCGTCGACCTCCGGGAGGCGACGGAGCGGAACGCGCGGGAGGCACGTGAGGAGCGGGAAGCCGCCCGCCTGAAGAAGGCGGAAGCCGACAAGGCGGAGGCCGCCGCTCTGAAGAAGCTGGCGGAAGCCGAGGCCGCCGATGCAGAGAAGAAGCGCGCAGAGGAAGCTGCACGCCGCCAGTCGGCGGTGTTTGTTGTCCCCTTGAACTCCGCACCGCCGCCACCGGAGTTCTCGGCGCAGACTGGGGAAGCCGGTGACGAGAACCCGGTCATGGAGAGGGACGCCGACGTCACCGCCACGCCAGAAGTCATTGTGCCGCCACCGCCATCCTCCGGAGGCGCGCCAGGCGGACAACCGGCAGACCCGCC